ATGATTAAAAACTGGATCATTGGATAATGCAATTCAAGAGTTTTCATTGGCTTAGCCATCATGGGATATGACCCATTATGCCATGCTCCACAAATATGGAAAGCGTATGTGTGATTTCTTGAGCATTTTTATTTTTATTTAACTCTAGTTTTCTATATTTTGGAGGCATTTTTAATAAAACAATTATTCCACTCACACCTGTTGGGTATGAAATGATAGATAGCCAACGAGGCGCGTAGCGCCGAATTGGCTTTAATCATCTCGTATCCAACAGGTGCATTCATTTCACTGTTGGCATTCATTTCACTGTCCATGAAAAAAACTACTTCAATTTGATGTACATGACCACGTCACACTGTCTCCAGCCAGAGAGTCAAGTTATTAAATGAGAGGAGAGCGGTGAAATCTGAGGTCTAACTGTGTAAAAAGAAAAAGCGGAGAAAAAGAAAAATTAAATTAAGCTATACTTTTGCTTTGGTTAATGTCATTAACTTAGTATCTTCCTTGTTCATACATTACACAATACTGTGTAGAGCGTTGAAGACTACGTAACTTCTTTCAACCATCTGAAGGTGACCCTTAATCTCATTGTGAATACCTCAGTCATTTTGCTAGCTTTGTATCTGGCAAATTTAAATCATGTAGTACAACATAATCATGAAGAATATCATGAAGTACTACAAAAGGATTGTTACTACTTGAGGTTTCACTCAATAGAAAATATATAAAAATTAATCAGAAAACATTTAATTAACCTCATCATCATCAGACTAATTAAACCCCCAAAGAGTCTGACTCATTAATCCCCTACGTATACCTACACAGAATACATCTCTTTTATCCTCCACATATACCTACACAGCTTTCATCGTATTAATTCCCAACATATACCTACACAGCCCACATCTCATGAATCCCTGAAATTTACCTTCACAGTTTGCATTTCATTAAATCGTTTCTAGAATCGTTACTCATTATATTCAGTGGTTATCAACTTGTGTAGAACCAAGTGGTCTTGAGATATCTTGGAACAAGTGAATTGAATATCCGTTCACTTGTAGCTTGCGAAGAGGCTCCCGGTTTGGTTGATGGGTTTAGTGCTAGCTAGCCAAATGTGGTCGAGGGCGAGCGAGGAGAGCCGATGGTGACGAGGGGAGCGCAATTCGCGGAACTCTTTTTTTCGCGCTTAACGACTCGCTTCGTTCGCCGTATTTCTTTTTTCCGCCCAGCCGCATTTTTTTGCCGCCCTTGCGGCTCGCTGAGAGCCTGTTCGCAAGCTAGTTCGCTTGCCGTGCGTTCAGCCGTTCGAACGGACACTGTAAGGAACGTTTTCGCGTGAGAGGTCACATATTTGCCAATGCATTTTGTGGTTGAATCGGCAAAGTTCTTCTTTGAACGACGCTTTTAGGGTCGAGGAAGTAAAATTGCCGAGGTACTTACGTGACGCGTGATCGATGAAAAAAAATTCTCCGTGATGCGTGATTTAATAGAAAAATTCAGCGTGATCCATGATTGGTACCCCACCTTTGCCACCCTCTTTTTAGAAGTTGGAGCATTAGGAAAAGTGCTTATGTAAATGCTTGTTCATTCAGCACTGATAATCAGTCGCCGAGATAGCCAAAGTAAGTTCCAGATGTTAACACTATTTTCAGGCCGCCATATGAGGGGGTACTCCTCTTCCCCAGGTGTTGGCAAGATAAGACAAGATAAGATAAGATAACTTTATTTATACACGGTTTTCCCATCAGTCAACAAAGTTAATGGACTATCTAACTATCTGCCTAACTACAATAAAAATTAATAATAATAATAATAATAATAATAATAATAATAATAAAAAAACTGCTTTTTATGGAGGCCATGTCTAAAAATTTACTTAAATTAAGATATTACTTTAAACTATGGCGACTTAATTTAGATTTGAAATCGGTCAATGAAGATGCTTGTCTTAGGTCTATAGGCAAGTTGTTCCACAACTGAGCTCCGCTGTACGAAAAACTTCTCTTAAGATAATCAGGTCGAGGTTGTGGAAGAACTAATTTGTTGTCGGTATTCCTTAAACGATAAGCATTTACGTTGTCACGATATACGAATCTTGATCTTTGATAATCAGGTGTCTTACCATGTAATGTTTTATACATTAGGATAGACTTCTGTTCCAATCTTTGATGTTAGAGTCTTTGCCACCCTAGCGCCCGGAACAAATCATCCAAATTACTATCATAGCTCGCAGACATTAGGGTGCGAGCTGCGCGATTTTGAAGCTTTTGCAGTTTTTCAGAAAGGCCCTTGTTACAGTTTCCCACACTACATTGCAATAATCAAAATGTGGTTGACCAAGGCTATTATAAACTTTAATTAAAACATTAAATGGAGTGAGATGCCGAATTCGCTTAATTACACCATGCACGGATACATACCACGGATGTACACCAACACGGCGTTTTCATACTAGGCTCTGTAAATGTTTCCAAGACGCTCGAAAATCGAATTTCACCGCGAAGTGTTTCAACGCTTTTGTCAGTAATTGTAGTTGATTAACACAAGGTGCAGTAATTTTCCACTTATTTAGAATTTGACCATGCCTGGTCCTTCTTTACAGTGGAAAGCAACGTGTCTGCTGAACTTTCGTCCATTACAAATGAACTTTACATTTTTAACAGTTAAGCGCTGACAACAAGCACCCTCGTTTCTTTGTTTACATTTTTTACAACAAAAGTTAATTGCTTTTTTTTTTACGTAGAACTGTAAGAAGTTCACACCTCTATGTTAAGATAAAGTGTTAAATTCTGTTATGTATGCACAACACGTTTACAAGCGCAATATACTTCATTAACGGATATCAAAGCAAAAGGATGAAAAGCAATAACCACGGGAAAACAGTATGAGGTTCGGGCGTCAGAGATTGATGTATTAACATTTTGAGCAGTTATTTCTATGCTTCAAACGAAAACTGTTCAAAAGCGAGACTGACTTTTCCGTGCCTGAAGCGGTGAGATGGTGGAAATTGACTAAAATGAGTACTAGAGGGAGACAGCAGCAATAGCGAATTCTAACATTGTTCCGAGGACATGAAAGGTCAAAGAAGAGTCAGTAGCTGAATTCTTTGTTTGACCTAGGGACAACGATAAGATGGACAGTACGCCAGCAGCTTTCTGAGGTCTAATGAATTAATAGCAGTCTACCTGGACAGGAAGGTAAGCAGTCATACTTGTAATAAAACCTGAACCAAAGTAATATTACACCATATTCGTATTCTCGGTATTGGACTGGAACTAGCTTGCAATGGAGGCTAATGCGGGGAAATACGTTAAAAAGAGGTAAATGTCATTTGCATTTGAAAAGACACTCTTAACGTATTTGTAGAGCGTTGTGCAATGGCCCATAACCCATGATGGCTAAACCAACTGCATTATCCAATGATCCAGGTTTTAGTAATTGTAGATATACCATGATGGCTAAGCCAATTAAAACTCTTATATTGCGTTATCCAATGATCCAGTTTTTAATAGTAATTAAGATAACAGCTGCGCAATCAAAACGTGCATTATTATTTAATGGCTTATAACGAATATTCCAACTTACAAGAGCGGAACTTTGTAGGACAAAATGTGAAGGGACCAGGAAAAAGGTTTTCTTCTATAGATGCCCATCATTGTAAAATAGCTCAGAACCCACCAACGTATCTGCTAGATCTAGACCAGAAAACTAATTCCCTACACTTGGAATGAGATAAGCTATATTGGAAAACCTGGAACACATGGCGTTCACCTCTCGGAAAAAGTACGGATGTATGTCACTCCAAATTTAGAAATGGGAAGCTGCACCCCGACCAAACTGAAAAGGAATGACGAAGAATAGATCACCACATGGTGAGTCATGAAGAGGGGTTGCTAAGCCGAGTAGACAAACAGCTATCGCACCATAATTTCGCGAGGGACGAATAACGCTTTCCGGAAACCAAGACTGTAAGAAACTTTAATTTGAAATGATACGTAGTAACGGTACATTTCAAACATTTGCTATCAAGCCTCTGTACTATTAGTGGTATTTTCATAACGAACCTTGTTC